GGATCCCCAGAGAAAATTGCTCATTTTCTGATGTAGGCAAGTGATGATACTTCTGGGTAGTTTAGTAGAGCCAAGTGTGTGTATGGGGATGGCACTAAGGACATGTTTGATAAGAACAAGCCTTCCACTCTGGGATAACAAGTGCTTGGTCCAACCTTGCAGCTTTTTATCAAAATGATTTAGGAGGTCATTGCAGTAGTTATTCCTATTGATTCCTCTGTGGATTTGAGTGCCCAGGTATTTGAAAGGGAATTGGCCTCTTTGCATGTTGAGAATTTTCCCCATTTTTGTTGCATGAATTGTTGGTGTTTTGTCTGGGGTATAGAATGAGCTTTTGTGTAAGTTGATCTTCTGTCCAGTGGCTCTTTCATATTCTCTCAAAAAGTTGGTGATCTTGGCTAGGTTATTGGCAGCTCCATTAGTGAAAATCATTAGGTCATCAGCAAAGGCTAAGTGTGTAATAGGCATGTAGTGTCTGCCTAACTTGTAAAGGCTTAGATTCCCCTTATCTGTTTCCTGTTTTATGGTTCTGCTGAAGCTTTCTGCTGAAAGGATGAAAAGGAGAGGAGAAAGAGGGTCTCCTTGTTTGAGACCTCTTTTGGGTTGGAAGTTCTTGCTAGGATATCCATTAATCAGGATGGAGTGTGTAGTTGATTTGAGGTTATTGAGGATTAAGGTGATGAACCTCTCTGAGAACCCAAATTTCCTCAAAGTCATCTCTAAGAAATCCCAAGATACTCTATCAAAAGCCTTAGACATATCCAGTTTAATAGCAAGGTTTCCCCCTCTTGTCTTGTAGTTGATCCCATGAATAAGTTCTTGGGCTGTCAGGATTTGATCATGTATTTGTCTATCTTTGATGAAACCTCCTTGTTCTGGGGAGATTAGGTTTGGCAGAAGTTTACCCAATCTCATTGCTAAAATTTTTGTGTTAATTTTAGCTATGAAATTAGATAAGCAAATGGGCCTGAAGTCCTCAAAAGTTGTAGGATTTTCTTTTTTAGGAATTAAGATGATAGTAGATTTGCCCAGAGTTTTAGGAATGGGAATACCTAAAAAGAATTCTTGGACAGCCCTTGTTACATCTTCTTTGATAATATCCCAACTTTTCCTATAGAAGTCTCCTGTAAAACCATCAGGTCCAGCTGCACTATTAGGGTCAAGATTCCATATTGCTTCCTTGACTTCTTCCTCGGAGGGTAGATTGATGAGGGTTTGGTTTTCAGCTTCATTGACCAGGTTTGGAATGTTTGAGAGGAATTGTTCATGTCCCTCACTGATTTCCCAAGAGAAAAGATGACTGAAGTAGTTAACACCCTCTTGTTGAATGTCTTTATTGTTTTCTATCCATTCTCCTTGGTTGTTTTTGATTCTCTGGATTGTTGGAAGTGTCTTTTCTCTTTCAAAATTGCATGGAAGTATGAGGAATTGCAGTCACCCTCTTTAAGCCATTTGATTCCAGCTTTTTGCTTCTAGTACTGGAATTCATTTTTAGTGGCTTGGATCAGATGTGCTCTTGTTTCATTCATAAGGGTCCTATTTTCCATGCTGGGATTCTCATCAAAAATATTTTCTGCCTCTTGTAGTTGTGACTCTAAATCTTCCACTTTGGTTATGATGTTCCCAAAGGTGTTTTTGTTCCAATTGTAGAGAGCTGTAGTGAGTTTGGAGAGTTTGTCAATCAGCCCTCTCATCCTTCCTCCTTTATAGTCACCCGAGTTGTCCTGAATAATATTTTTGAAGGAGTGATGATTGGCCCAACAGTTTAGATATCTGGAAGGTTTAGGACCCTTGAAGCTGGGGTTGTTCATTTTGATGATGATAGGGCAATGATCAGAGTTTCCTCTAGAGAGATGCTGACTTGATATGCTAGCATAATGTGTCTGACAAATAGAGTTAGTGAAGACCCTATCCAATCTTTTCCAGACTCTGCCCAATGATCTTGTTCATGTCCATGTAAATAGGTTTCCAGTGAAAGGGGGAGTATAGAGTCCATTGTCCATGATACAGTTATCAAAATCCTGGATGTTGTTGAGGCATGGAGTGGTTTTCCCTTTGTGATGTTCCAATGTTGAGATGGCATTAAAGTCCCCTCCAAGAATCCAGCAATTATTATTGTTTTGATTGCTGATGTTGATAGCTTCCCAAAGATCTTTTCTATCTTCCCTGGTGTGTTTGCCATAAACTCCAGAGAATAAGATATTTTCTTTTGTTTGATGACACTGGAAGAGAACATTAATCATTTGCCCCAAGTCTGTGTGATTGATATATGTGAGATGTTCATTCTTCCACAATATCCAGATTCTGTTACTTGAACTATGGATGGAGTTGGAGAATCCCAGTTCAAGTTGCAGGTTGGGAAGGTTATTAGGTTGGGATTTAGGTTCAATAATGGTAAGGATGGAAATTTTGTGTTTTGAAACTAGAAGGGATAACCTCTCCTTTTTAGAAGTTAGCCCACAGAGGTTCCAAAAGAGGCAATTCATTGATAACTTGTGTGTGAGGAACTGTTTGCTGTGGCTTTTTCCAGAAGTCTTTTGGATTTCCTTGTA